ATGGGAAAAACTAGGAACAAAGCTCCTCTATTCTACTACTAGTCATCCCCAAACTAGTGGCCAAACCGAAGTAGTAAATAGGTCCCTATCCACTTTATTAAAGGGTACTCCTAAAAGGGAATAAGAAAACTTGGGATGATTATCTCCCCCACCTCGAATTTGTATACAATAGAGTAGTTCATAAGAGTACTAATCTTTAACCCTTTGAAGTTGTATATGGCTTTAACTCAATAACCCCTCTTGATCTACTACCCCTTCCTAATACTCCTTCCTTGTTTCACAAAGAAGGTGTATCTAGGGCGGATTTTATTAAGAAATATCATGAGAAGATCAAGAGTCAAATTGAAAAACAAACACAAAATTATGCCAAATAGAACAACAAAGGAAGAAAGAAAATCACCTTTGAGGTTGGGGATTGGGTTTGGCTTCATTTGAGGAAGGATAGATTTCCCACTCAAAGGATGTCAAAACTAAACCCTAGGGGAGATGGACCATTCCAAGTCCTTCACAGAATAAATGACAATGCATATCAATTAGACCTTCCTTTTGAGTATGGCATTAGCTCATCTTTTAATGTATGTGATCTCACACCATTTTTAGGAGCTAAGGATTTGGATGAAGATCTTGATCTGAGGACAAATGCTTCTCAAGAAGGTGGGGATGATGGAGGACCATCCTTGAAGACACATGTGGGCCCCATCACTAGGTCCATGGCTAGGAGAGTGGAAGAGGAGGGAACTCACACACCAAAGGACACCCTCCTCGTTATCATAGAGTACTAAATACTCTCTAATGTGTCATTAGTATAGGGTTTATTTTATTTTCCAATTTTACCCTTGTATTTTGGGGTGCTTAGGACTTAGAATTTATTTTTTTTGTAGTTCCTATTTTGCCCTTGTATTTTGGGGCACTTAGAAATTAGGGCTTTATTTCCTAGGTGATATGAGTGTTAGGCGTGACCAAAAATGGGTTTTTGGGCTAAGAAGAGCATTAGCCCAAGTGGAAGGGCACCTAGGTTGCATTTCCCTAGCATGCACCTAGATGTAGCCTAGCTTAACCCAAAAGGCTCCCATTTTTAGGGTAAGTGGACGAAACCTTCTAGGGGTCATTTGAGTGTCATTTAGAGTGCATTTCCTTCCCATTTAGGGAAGGAATGACCACCTAAAGATGACCTAGCCGTCACACTTCCCTAGGGTTTTGATGTCACCCTACACTTATAAATACCCTAAGTATTGCTCCATATAACCACTTTGGATTATATTGATATTGAGTGAGCATTTTTTTGCTTCAACATCCCATCCTTAGTCATTAGGTTAACTTCAGTTAGCCTTCTCCTATCTCCACCCTTGGAGAGTGGGAAACCTAGAGTGGCCTCCATCTTCATCTTGAAGTGAGCCAACTTACCTTGAGAGCACCCCATCTTCACGCCCAAATTCCTTCCACCATAAACGCCCCTCTCACCCCTTGAAGACTAATCCCCTTGGTGTGCCTAGATCATTGGGCAAAGGTGACCCCCTTCATCAAAGACGTCTACTTCATCCATTGAAGGGAGGTCTCCATTACATTCTGTCTTTTTCTCACTTAAACTATCTTGTTTTTCACTCACTACTCCAACTAAGTAACTACTCATGCCTTAATTGAAATTTGTAGATTCTAATATTCACACAATTACCTTTTCTCTCATTTTTTTTTTACTTTCTTCTTAAATAATAAGACACAAAGTTAGGAGTGTAAGTGGGTATGAGTAACTTACGAACTTGATATGACCCAAACCGGTCCAATGGGTTCGGATTGGATTATTTTAGTGTTCAAGTCAGACCCAAACCAACTCGATCATATATTATTATTATTATTATTATTATTATTATTATTATTATTATTATTATTAGTAGTAGTAGTAGTAGTAGTAGTAGTAGTAGTAGTAGTATTAGTAGTAGTAGTAGTATTAGTATTATAATAATAATAATAATAATAATAATGTTTGAATGATAATTTGATCAGGATAATACTCACTTTCACTCTTAGTAACGAATTTTCTATTTTAGGTTGATAGCATTGTAACAATATAATATATTTATTTTAAATTTTATTTTTTTATTAATAAATATGGTTTTTTAAGTTGATAATAATGTAATAAATTAATAAACTTATTTTAAAATTTAATTTGTATCATTGTTTACTTTATAGGTTGAAAACATTATATTTGCAACAATGTATCAAATAATTTATATATGTTTTAAAATATTTAAACTTTCACAAAAAATAAATAAATTTAATTATGTTAACCCGATTAATCCAATCCAATCCAACCCGTTCATGATTGGGTTGGTTGAGTTTAAAAAAAATTGCACAAATCTAGTCCAACCGATTAAATTTTGATTGGGTTGGATAACAAATCCATCCAAATTCAACTCAACTCAACCCGCTTGCACCCCTACACAAAGTATCTCTTTTTTCTTAATGGTAATAAATTAATATACGAACATTAACAAAGTAATAAATAAATACTTATATCTCATTATTTCTTTAAAAAAAATCTTATTCTTAGTCATCATCGTTGTTACATAAAAATTCTAGTACTCAAGGTCAGGTTGTTATATAAGCCTAAGAGGTCATGAAGGAAAAAACAATCAAGTCTTTCAAATTACTTTATTGTAGTGAGGTTTATTTTTATTTTTATTTTTGTTTAAATATATTTTTAAGTTATTATAAAATGAATAAGTTTTAATTTTGGTTCTAATAATTTTTTTAATACTTATAAAATTTAGTATTATTATTTTTAGTTGATATTATTATATAATCATTTTTAAATATTTATTTATTTATTAAAAGTGATATTCTTAAGTGTTACACATAATTATTAGTACAATATTATATTAATATATGATATCTCTAAAAAATTTATAGATTCGAAAAATAAATATGATTTAATTACCACAAAATCATCATTAAGATCTAAAATAGTGATTTCAAATTTTAGAAGAATAAAATAAAAAAGATAATATTTTACAAATATCAAAATTAAAATTTACTTATTTTACATAAATTCAAATTATTTTAAAAAAATAAAAAATAATATTTACAAATTCGGGAAGATTACTAAATAAATTTTCTTCTTTTTTTTTTTAACTAAAATCAAAATTCACTATTATGCAAGAACTAAAATTACATTAAACCAAAAATCTTCATATATGTTTCTGACAAAATTCGATCAAGGCCACCGATTGAAATATGGTTTGTTTAACATCATTATCGTATCCTTATCTTCTGATTTTCATGTCGGTTATAATGAAAATATGAACGTGTGATATAAATAAGGCATGACCAACAGAATAATTTTTTTTAAATAATATAAAATTGCTCCATGTGGTGTTATTAATAGTCTAAAGACTATAACAGTAACTTCTTCCTATATTAGGAAAGTATGGATTATAAAAACAACAATTTAAGAAAAGAAAAAAAAAATCCTTTGATTAGATTTTAAGTCAGTAACCTAAAAATGTAACCCAAATAATTAAAGAAGTTATTTTTTTAAAATATTGCAAATATGTGAAACATAAGACTGTTCGAAGAAATTTCTCGAAAAGTCTTATTGGAGAGAAAAATATAAAATAAAAATAAATAAGTTTTTTCATAATTTAATTAATAAAAACATTTCTCATGTTAATTTGACCAAAATCTTATTCTTAACCTTTAGGAGAGCAAAATAAAACAAAAAAATTGAAATAAACTTTTTTATAAGACAAAACTAACTTACATATAAGTTAAAAAGATTTAGTAGAAATTAATAAGAAAAAACTTTTATAATTAACTTCTGTATTAATTAATTTCAACTTATGAAAAAAAAAAATTATTTTTTCCCCATATTTTTCTCCTAAAATTATTTTTTTTTAAAAGAAATTTAACCATATAAACTCTTACATATAAAGCAATTTTACCTTACATCTAGAAATATTTTTAGAAAAAATTATTGAAACAAGAGAAATTCTATGGTACCCATCTTATTTAAGAGGGTACCGGTACAGTTTTTTATATTTTATATTTTTAGTAATTTATTTAAATATTATATATGATATTTTATTCTTTTAATTTTTAAATTATTTAATTATTTTATTTTTATTTTATATATTCTAATTTATTTGTAATAATATTATTATATATTTAAATAGTTTAATTTTAATAATTTTTTAAATATATTTTTATCTTTTCACTTAAAATTTTTGAATTTTTATATTTTAATTTTAATAATTTTTTAAGTATATTTTTTGTCTTTTTGTCTTAAATTTTTGAATTTTTATATTGTAATTTTAATAACTTTTTATTTCTACTATTTATTAATTTTTTTCTTTTTCTTTAATATTTTATAATATTATTGAAAACTTATAATTTTAATTTCTATAATTTTATTTTATTTTTTATTTTATAAGTATAATTTGGATTATTTATTTTATAATTAAATTAATTTTTTTAAAATTTTTTATGAATTTACATAGAAAAATGTATTGAAACCCCTCCATCTTTGAGGGTACCGTAGCAACTCCCTTGAAACAAACTCTTGTGCGTTTATATCTGATCTGGCATTAAAAGCCAGTCGTATAACCGCACGAAACCAAGCACATAGAAGCACCAACACCAGAATCGCGTATGATAACAATATGCATTTAAAGAGAAACAATTCACAGCCACGAAGTGAAAAAGAGAAATTCTACCCGTTCATTATTTTTGCAATTTTTAAAATTAAAAATAAGGAAATTTGTGGAATATAAAATGAAAACACATATCAATGCAATGAAAAGATAAAAATAAATCAAATTTAATATGCTCTCAATTATGCTTTCAATTATTGTTGGTATAATTCTAAGCTCTCAATTATTGTTATTATAATTCTATGCTCCTGTTCTTCCTACACGTTACAAACTTCCAACCTAGCATTACAAGTTGCTACCATTATGCAAATAGTAGTAGGTTTAGGTTCCAAGTTCTATATAAATGTGGTTAATTTCATTCACTCCTCAAATCAAAGCACAAAGCACAAAGAACAAGAACATTGGTTCCAAGTTCTAGTAGCTACGATTGAACTTGGCAATGGCGAAAACCACTCACATTGTCGTAATTGCAGGCCCTGGCTTCACCCACTTAGTCCCCATTCTCCAATTCTCCAAAAGACTCGTCAACCTCCACCCAAACTTTCACGTCACATGCATCATTCCCTCGTTAGGGTCTCCCCCAAGTGCCTCAAAAACCATCCTCGAGACCCTCCCTTCAAACATCACTTCAACTTTCCTTCCCCCAGTGAGTCCCAAAGACCTTCCCCAAGGGGTTGCAAACGAAGTCCAAATGCAACTCACGGTCACACACTCTCTCCCCTCCATCCACCAAACGTTGAAGTCCTTAACCTCAGACTCAGACACCGCCCTCGTGGCCATGGTGGTTGATTCCTTCGCCTTCGAAGCCCTAGACTTCGCTCAAGAGTTCAACCTCTTATCCTACGTGTACTTCCCCGCAGCAGCCACCACACTCTCTGTGCTCATGCACTTGCCCAAGCTCGACGAGGAAACATCGTGTGAGTACAGAGATTTGCCCTATCCGGTTAAAGTGCCAGGGTGTGTGCCACTCCACGGGAAGGATCTCTACACCCCAACTCAAGATCGAACCAACCTCGTTTACAAACTCTTGCTCCAGCGCGTCAAACGCTACCGTTTCGTCGATGGGATTTTCATTAACAGCTTCTTGGAGATGGAAGAGGGTCCCATAGCAGCGTTGAAGGATGAGATAAGAGGGTACCCTAGAATGTACCCCGTTGGACCCATTGTCCAAACGGGAACGGGTAAGTCCGAGAAAGGGTTGGAGTGTTTGACGTGGTTGGACAAACAAGAGAAAGGTTCGGTGTTGTATGTTTCATTCGGGAGCGGTGGAACGTTGTCGCAGGAGCAAATGAACGAGTTGGCTCATGGCTTAGAGATGAGCAAGCACAAGTTCTTGTGGGCAGTGAGGGCACCGAATGACGTTGCAAACGCTGCTTATCTCGGTGGTGGAGAAAAGTGCGTTGACCCTTTGGAGTTTTTGCCGTTTGGGTTCATGGAGAGGACCAAGGAGCAAGGAATGGTGGTGCCATCGTGGGCACCGCAGGTTCAGATTCTTGGCCATGGTTCGGTTGGTGGGTTTTTGACTCACTGTGGGTGGAACTCGACTCTGGAGAGTGTGCTTCAGGGCGTGCCACTCATCACGTGGCCACTGTTCGCGGAGCAGAAGATGAACGCGGTTGTGCTGAGTGAGAGCCTCAGGGTGGGGGTGAGGCCGAGGGCGAATGAGAAGGGGTTGGTGGAGAGGGATGAGATCAGTGATGTGGTGAAGAGGTTGATGGAAGGAGTGGAAGGTGTTAAGTTTCGCAATAGGATGAAGGAGTTGAAAGAAGCTGCTACTAACACACTCAAGGAAGATGGGGCTTCCACCAAGACTCTTTCTCAGTTGGCACTCAAGTGGAAGAGTTTGGCTTAGCGAAATTAGTTAAGCAAGTTCTATGGAATCGAATAATTTGGTCGTGGGATCTGGATCTTGGTTTTGTCAACTTAATTTATTAATTGTTCTATTCTGTCATGTTTCTGCTTTTTAATATCCGTCGGTTCTTATGTGGATCCTTGACCTTGTAGAAAGTTGATTATGTTAATATGATGATCTCCAATATTATTGGATTTGCATGATTTCATTTTTAATACTTTTATTGGTTTTGTATATAGTGTCGTCATTTGTTAGATCTTAATTTCTGTTTACATTATGCAGTTTTATGTCAAATGCTTTTAGCCTAGGAATGGTTCATGCTTCGTTGAGGAATAATCTGTTTGGTTGTCTTTTTTTTACTTGCATTGCTTGTTATATATTTATAAAAATAGTATTATATATTATTGTGTAAAGAGCATTATTCACATTGCTAATCTCTATATTAATATGATATTATCTAGAATATTAATTTTAATAATTATAAAAAAAAATTATACTAATTGAATATATGTATATATATTATAAATCCTAGTTCATCTTTTTGTTTTAACAATATGTATCATTTTATTTGTATTATTCTAACATAATTTACTTTGGCAATAATAATTCTGAACTGATCTATTGTCTGCTTTGGATTATATTAATAATATTTTATTTTATTAAATGCATTTGCCTATATGCAGTAAATGTACCATATAAGGATGCGAACAAATTTTCTTTTGCCGAGGAACATACACAACAGAAACATGCTACATGTAAACTTGAAATATTGTAGAGTTCAATACCAACAAGGCAAGCTAATAACGTTAACATGCATGTAAAAGCTTTATAACCTATTTAAGTCATAATGACAAAGTTAGAAAAAAATTAAATCATATGAACGAGTTTATGAAGTTAATTACCATTTCTGTCTCGTGTCTACTTTTCTAAATTAATTCTCATATCGTAAAACAACGAACAAAGAAAAACTTGGCGCCACAATCGATCCCTGTGCCGCCATCCAGCGGTGGCTATATAAACATGTTCTAAATTATGGTTTGCAACATAGCTTTAATATTATTGTTGTAGTGTTTCTTGCAATCGTAATAACTCACAATTGAGGTGTGCTTTTAAATCATAAAAAATTTCACAATATATAACTGTGTCAATTGCAACTATCACCACAATTTAAAACCATATTGTCAATTGTGTTCAACGATCTCATTAAGTTACTACTTTCTCACGCTTTGTCACACACTCTTAGCATGAGAAGTTGTTAGATAATCCAAGACTATCAGATACTAACTCCTAACTAATCATTATAAAAACATGCGTTTAAATTTTTTAATTTATAAGAAAAAATTTATGATATTTAATTACATATTATATATAAAAAAAATTAATTATACTTAATTACATGTTATATAAAAATTACTTTTTATCTATTTGTGTTAAAATAATATTTAATCATTTAAAATCAATCAAAATAATATATATATATATAGGAGAGATTTATTTTAAGTCTACCTACACTTACTTCATTCAATAACTCATATTCTACATCAAGTTTCAACAATCTAACCGTTGAATTTAAAATTCTTAATGCATAGATTAAGTATGTAAATTTTTAGAAAATTTGAAAATCTTTTGATATTTCATTTAATTAATTCAAATTGACAGTTAATCATAAAATCATGTTATACATTGATTTGAATTAATGAAATGAAGTATCAAATGATTTTCAAAATTTTAAAAAATTTACATATTTGATTTATGGATTAAGAACTTTAAATTAAACAGTTGGATCATTGAAATTTGATATAGAACATGAATTATTAAACAGAATAAGTCTAAATAGACTTACTCCTAGAATAAATGGATTTCTCTATATGTAAGAGGGTTATAATAACACTGGTGTAACTTTTACCAAATATTACACGTATTGCTCAATGATTTTATATTAAATGTGAATTTTGTAAATTAATCCAACCGCCGTTAGATTGAAAGTTCATATCACTTTATATGTTTATATCAAATTTTGTTAAAATTGAACAACAACTTGAAGATAAGAAAAATGTTCATATTTTAGTATATTTTGAAATTTATATATTATGTCAAATTTTTTTTATAAAAATGAAGTATCAAATCATCTTAGATTAACATAAAATTTTGTATATATGATTTAAGAGTAAAGAATTTTCAATCTAATGGTTGGATTTACAAAATTCACATTTAATATAAAGTTATTGAGCGGTGTAATACTTAATAAAAGTTAGACCGGTGTTATTATAATCCTCATATATATGAAAGGGGTTATAATTACACTGGGGTAACTTTTACTAAGTATTATACCGCTCAATAACTTTATATTAAATGTGAATTTTTGTAAATCCAACCGTTAGATTGAAAGTTAATATCTCTTAGATCATATATACAAAATTTTATATTAATCCAAGATGATTTGATACTTCATTTTTATAAAATAAAATTGACGTAATATATTCATTTCAAAATACACTAAAATATGAACACTTTGATTACCTTCAAGTTGTTGTTCAATTTTAACAAAATTTGATATACACTTATAAAGTGATATGAACTTTCAATCTAACGGTTGGATTTACAAAATTCATAATTAATATAAAGTTATTGAGCGGTGTAATACTTAGTAAAAGTTCTAAAATTCGTCGGCAGCAGTTGCAAGATGTGGTTAATTCTCCACGTGTCAAGGGAGTGTTTCCTTGGATCAAAATCTTCTATCTCCAACCCCTGTCCCCAAACCCTGTCTCTCCAATCACAAAATGTCACATCACTACTTTTAATTTTAATTTTGATTTTTAAAAAATTGTAAACGATTCTATTAGGATTTTTTCTCTCAGGTTATGTTCTCTTCATAAAAAAATGCTTTATTTTTATCAAAATTACTAGCATGTCAATCGGATGAAAAGAAAACAATTTAGGGGAAAGGAATAAACTTTGCCACGTAAACTACATGATGAAGATCTGATACTATTATATTAACAAAATTATTATTTTGTTAAATGATTATATAATTTTTTTTTTCAGATATATTTTATTTCTAAGAAAATATCTATTTTTATTTTGTAATTTCAAGAATATGATTCACATAAATATTATAAGTAAGAAAATCATTTTTAGATATATTTTTTAAAAAAATATTATATTTAAATATTTTTAAATTCAAAATAATTTAAATAAAATAAAGAAAAATAAAAGGCCTAAAAGAATATGTAATAGATACTATTCATCGCCATATTTCTAAGAAATAAAAAATAATTTCTTATTTATAATAACTTTTTTCCTAGCTATTTTTATTTTGTAATTTTGTGAATATGATTCACATAAATATTATAAATAGGAAAATCATTTTTAGATATATTTAAAAAAAACTATTATATTTAAATATTTTTAAAGTAAAAAATAATTTAAATAAAATAAATAAAAATAAAAGGCCTAAAAGAATATGTAATAGATACTATTCATCGTCATATTTCTAAGAAATAAAAAATAATTTTCTTATTTATAATAATTTTTTTCCTAGCATTCTTTTTTATATTGATATTCTAATAACTTACACATTGATTATAAGATCTAATATTGTGCAGGTTAGTGAGACCAAAGCCAACAAGTTTTTAATTTATTGATCACACCAATGGATCCTCTACCAAACACAAAGCTTCACCAAGACTACAAACACACAAGAATGCATCAGTGAATGCATTAGATTCTGAATTTCAATTATATGTGATTGTTGAAGACTAAAATACATTTTGACTTTTGATATGTAAAGATTGCAAACTACTCAATTGTAAACGTCAAATATGAGCTAGTAAAATTGTATTGATGTACTATAAATTCATTAATAATAAAAAAGATCAGAGGTTATTTTATTACTATAATTTTTATTTTGCATTAACAATAACAACAAATGAATTTCTTGTTTGATCATAATAAGATTATCTAATAAAGTGAGAAATTGTATTTCTACGATACAAGGCCAAGAAAAATATCTAAATTGTAATAGTTTATTTGCAAAGTTTGAAAAATACATAAAACCAAAATTTTAAACTAGAATCATTGAAACATCTTGATGTTTATAAAAACTCTCTATGACCAAATTGTTTCACAGATCATTCTATCTTTCTTTGCTTTGAGAATTTGTAACATCATTTGTTCCATGTTCAATATGCTAGATAGTTGTGCCTATACATATACATATGCTCTATTTTACAAACGTGATTTAAAAGAAATATTAAACTAACAAAAATAGAAGGCACTATAATTTATCACCTGTAACAACTCTGTCATGCTCATGTTACTACTTGACTCCATGAATGTATTGTTAGCAACATATGTGGGAAACTAAATAATGCAATTTTAATAACAATTACAAATTATCATATAGATTATAAATTAGCATGAAAAACAAAAAGTAAAATAAATTAGAGAATACCTGATTAAATTGAGATGAAGGCAATTCATTATCTAAGTTTTTCATGGAAGGTTCATCTTGTTGCATAGTTTTCTTCTTTCAAGAATACCTTTTGGCCTAGTAGATGATCCTCAAAATCTTTCTTTAGTCTTTATTCCTTTCACACTATCCTTATTCCCACTACACCAACCTTTTTCAATATTTATAAGTGAATCATCACTAGTACTAGCTTCCTTGTCTCTACCTTTAAGACAGACATCTATATCATTCATGGCCTTAGTCAAATAACTAATAGCTATATTATATATTTCTTTAGTTATCATTCCTTTAGTTGCTAACTAAACTTGCATCCTACATATATCTTTATAGCACATACCTATTTTTACCTTAGGGTCCTCATGGATTATAAAATGGTTAGTTGGTATGCCATTTCCCATTTTTGCATGTTTTGTCCATCTTTTTAATACATACATAGCAGGAATTTTCATAACATTTCTTGAAGAGAGAACTTTGAGAGTATGTGAGCATAAAATCCCTATAAACTCATACCTTTTACAACTACACTTCACTGAACCAATAGAGGAGTCATAATGGACAATATGTTGAAATAACTTCTTATATGAGGTAACTTTATATTCAGTAACTTCCCCATTTTGAGAGAAAATATACATACTACAATCATAACCACTTGATACCTCGTGTAGCATCTTAAATATTGCAGGAGTATAAGTTGTTGTCGCATGCCGTAGAATTTCCACATCAAATGACAGA